GGGGTCGCCCACGTGCATCTTCCGCAAGTCGATCACAGCACCTCGGGTTTAGGGGTGTAGGGGTTTAGGGTTTAGGGGTTTAGGGAGTTTAGGGTTTGGGGTTGAGGGATCGCGTTGGTGATTCGTGATTATTGACGCTGGTGAGTTTATCAATATGTGTCTGCTTAGCTAGTGTGAGTAACCATATGAGTATTATGATTGTGCCATTGTTTGCAGGTGTGTGTGTGTGTGTGTGAGTGTGTGTTTTCAAAAATCAAAACGCCGTATGACTGCCGGATGACGAGGATGTTGCCGATGATGATTCTGATGCAGATGTTGCTGTTGCTTGTTGGGGATACCCACCAGAACATCTACCAGACGTATGTAGATGCTCCAGGATCTGAACAGCAAAGGACTATGCACGAAGGTTTCAGTTCTGCTACATGTTCGTCAGCTGATCCTGCACAGTGCTACTGTCGCCACCACAGAAGGCGTCACCCCAGGTCAAGACAGATCCATCACCAAGGATTCCGGCAAAAGCGCGGTCACTGGCTTGGATCTGCTGCACATTCTTCAGCTGACTCTGGACGGCACTACAGTCTCCGCCAGCCCAAGCATCACCCCAGGCAACGACAGATCCATCGCCAAGAATGGCAGCAAAAGCTAGCTCAGAGGCTTGGATATGCTGCACACTCTTCAGCTGACCCTGCACAGCACTACTGTCACCGCCACAGCGATCACTGCCCCAGGTCACGACAGATCCGTCGCTTAGGATAGCAGCAAAGGCCCCTGTTGAGGCTCGGATTTGCTGCACATGCCTCAGCTGGTCCTGCACAGCACTGCTGTCGCCACCACCGGCAGGATCACCCCAGGTTACAACCGATCCGCTAGCGAGAATGGCAGCAAAAGAGTACAGCGATGCGACTGTCTGATGCACATTTATCAGCTGATGCTGCACAGCACGACTGTCACCACCATTATCGACATGGCCCCAGGTCACGACGGATCCATCGCCCAGAATGGCAGCAAAACCGTTCTGAGAGGCATGGATCTGCTGCACATTCTTGAGCTGATCCTGCACGGGACCACTGTCACCACCGCAAAAGGCGTTTCCCCATGTCACGATGGAACCATCGTCAACTACAGCAGAAAAAGCGCTCTGAGCGGCTAGGATCTGCTGCACGTTCGTCAGCTGATCCTGCACAGCACTACTGTCACCACCACGGCCAGCATCACCCCAGGCCACAACAGTTCCATCCTCACGTATGGCAGCAAAAGCGCCGAAGGAGGCTTGGATCTGCCGCACACTCTTCAGCTGACCCTGCACAGCACTACTGTCACCTCCAGTTTGAGCTCTGCCCCAGGTCACGACCGAACCATCTCCACGACTGGCGGCAAAAGCACTGCTAGAGGCTTGGATCTGCTGCACATCCTTCAGCTGATCTTGCACTGCACTACAATCACCACCGCAGTTAGCATCACCCCAGGTCACGACAGATCCGTCGCCGAGGATAGCAGCAAAAGCAAATCCAGTGGTTTGGACTTGTTGGACGTTTTTCAGCTGATGCTGCACCGCACGACTGTCACCACCAGTACCGGCATAGCCCCAGGTCACGACGGATCCATCGCCCAGAATGGCAGCAAAGGCGTTGACTCCGCCACTTACCTGGACATGTTTTATATGAAAAGTCAACGACTCACCAGTCTGCAATCCGGCATGCTTCAGGAGTAAAGATGCATCCAGAGTCCTGCCGCGTGCGTCCAGCAGTCGCCCTCTTCCTGCTCCTAGTGCGGCCTGTGCCCGACGATTTAGTGTTTCCACATCTTCATCCAGGCCGGCCTTCACAGAAGCTGTTCTGCCACTGAGCAACCCGACTGTCACGGTGATCGACATGTTGCGCGTCAGGGCAAGTCTAAAGCTCGAATCTTGGCGTCGTGTTGTGGAACTCTGTTTGCTTCTTTTCTGGCGCCTCGCGACAGCTACTGGGCCCTCAAAGGCTGTAGCCTC